GGTTGTTACAGCCTCTTTCAGCTGCTTCACTGTTTTGAAATCTAAAGCATGGTGAATTCGCTGCCCTCCTGCCTGCTCAAGTACAGGGCATGCTAATCTTTGAGGTCCTGTCTCAGGATCCCATCTATCAACTACGGGGGTGGAGGGCCACTCAGCATAGGTTGTCTCCATAGGTGGCGCTGTTGGTTGGACACTTACGCCCTCTGGTGATAGAAAGGTGTTAGTAGCAGCCTCCTGTTGTAACTTCTCCCCTGATAGCCCCTCCTTCTCTAAACTTTTTCCCCTTGTTTGACTAACTCGAGAGACTTCCTCTTTTACTTGATATAGGATGTCTTCTCCTGGACTAAGCAAACAAGATTGTACCAACGTCCACAATGGTAATGTGCCAACTGGCAGGGTTCCTGGGCTTTCCTTTTCTATTCTTTTTAAATCTTCACCATGATGGTTCCATTGTGATATATCTAACAACCCCTCTTTAATGAACCACGGACTACACCTTTTTATTGTCTTAACCTATGCCCTTACTGTTCTTGATTTTACTGAGATGCCTCCTTCCTCTAGCAGTTTACTTAACACCCTTTCAGTTTGGTTTTTACTAATTTTTAATTCCATATTTCTGCTATAAAGATAACGAAACCCAACAAGATAAAACAAAAGAAAACCGAAACAAAACGAAACAAAAACGGAACAAAAATCTGTTGTATCAGTTTTTCTATTTTCTTGACATGTATATCCCTGGTCTATCTCTATCTCTTCCTCAGGGGCAAACAACTTCAAACCTGGAGCCAACCACTTTCCCCAGTTTGCCTGAGAAAGTTCTAGGGACAGGCAGCTTGAAACAAAAACAAAACAAATCAAAACAAGAACACATTGTTTTTTTAAACGGTCACCTATTCTCTCGCCATGCCCTCAGGGACGAGCAGTTTCATTTACCCCAAGCTTCAGGCGTTCCCCGCATGGGCCACCAAATGCCACAGTCTGGCTGGGCACAAATAACCGGGAGGTCACGAGCCACTTGTAGATTCAAGCAGGAATGATCTTTATTCGAGAACCCACGGGAACTCCACGGGAACTCTACGGGAACCCTGCGAGAACTCAACGGGAACCCAACAGGAAYTCCGCGAGAACTCAAAAGTAGCGGGCACCCGAGGTAGCGGGAGCTGCCTTATTGCCGGACAGCAGAGGTTTATATACACAACTGAATACACAGCTTGCTTCAATTTATCATCATCCAGTTACAGCAATCAGTCATCATCCCAATAATTATACTCAGCTCAACTCAACCATCATCATCTTAATGGCTCGCTGGCGCTACCCCTCCACCACTCCTTCTGGCAAAATGCCAGGCGCCATCTTGACTGGGTTGTGCTCTCAACACTCCTGTGTGTGCTCTGCTCCTCCAAAGGAACCCAGGACCCGCTCCTCTTGCTCCTGATAGTGGTCCTGCCAAAGGCCACGGGACGGGAGGTGACAGGATGGGCCCAACGGGAGGAGCCCTGGTCTCCAGTTCTGAAACACGCAGATGTGCCCCCGAGAGCCCATCTTCTTCCTGTTTGCAGACCCGGGTTTGCACATATGGGGCATTGTACCCAAGYGACATCCTCAGCAGAACGTGCTATTATTGGAGGCCAGGAAGAAAACGAGAGACCTCTGTGTCCATCTCACCGGAGCCCTGCTCTTTCCAAGTCCACCTCTGCAACCAACCAGCATTCCCAGGGCTTGCTTACAGCCAGGGCCTGCCTTCAGGGCAGTCTCTCAATTTTAGAGAATCATTTTCCTCCCAAAGAGATCCATATTTCACTTCCTTGGGTCAACTCTGGAAGAAGGAATGAAGACTCTGGGGTGGGGTCTGTTCCTTTGAGCTGGGACTCCTGGGTGACAAAGGCAGGCTTGGAAGTGTTTTCTGAGCAGAACTGGAGTGCAGAGGAGGTCACACCTGTTCACCTATCGGGGTCTCACTGTGTTGCCCAGGCTGGCCCCAGACGGCAGGGCTCAAGGGACCCTCCTGCCTCAGCCTCTGGGGTCAGTGGGATGACAGGTGGGTCTCACTATTGTTAAAATCTCACAGACGTTTCCTTTGGCTGCGATTCAGTGGTCTCTAACCCCCAGCCAAACCGCAGAGCCCACAGAGTGGCAGCAGAGGCAGGTCGATGTTTATACCCGATTTATTAGAATATCCTCAACATAAAAAGGGGGGGTGGTGGGGGTGGGGCCCGAGCTGCGTACAAGTGCTATCTGGGGCCAGCAGCAGCCGCACTGTCAGAGGCACCCCGCGCTCTGGGTCGGAGGGACACGGCCTCCTTGTCAGTGCCAGGGGAAGCCATGCTCTGGATTGTCACACACCAGACCACAGGGGCTGAGGACAGGGAACCCCCGGTGACAGCTAAGACACACAAGGTTTGCAGTTGTTTTGGAATTGGCTCGGCCATAAAAACAAGACGGGGCAGGGTCAGGGGACGCAGTTTTCAACCACCAGAGAAAAAGAGGGGGGATGTTGTCCTGGGGTGGGGACCGAGGGGCTGCGGCGAGAGTACCATGGCATGGGACCCCATGGGGACAGGAGTATTGCACTGAGCCAGGTGTGGGGTGCACAGGGACGCATTGGAATGGCTTAGAAGGACAGAGGCTGGAAGAGGACTTGTGGGAGTCTCCACCTTGTCGGCCTCCGAGTTCTTTATGATTCACAGCTGCATCCGGACACCAGACACAGCCTGAGCAGTAGTAGCCATCAGAGGGCCGAGCCGGGCAGCAGATCACGACAGTATTTACAGACCTCCTGGGAGGGGAGGCGGCCGGTGAGCCCAGTGCCTTCCTCTCGGGGAGTCTGAGGAGGCCAGGAGTGCGCCCAGCATCAGAAACAGGCCTTGGCTCCCCAGCCCCCCAAATCACAAGCAAACATGGCTCTTGACAAGCTCAGAGGGGCACTTTAACATCTGCTTGACAGTCCCCAAAAGGGAGAAAACACTACACCACACAGATCTCCAAGGGGTTCTTTGTGACACTTAACACAAAAACGGAACTCTGTGGGGTCTTCCGAGTCTCTCCTGCTGTGGCCGCACCAGCACCCGTGGCCTCCGATCCCCAGGCCCAAGGCTCCTGGGGACCCAGGTGCAGTGACAACGCAGCTGTGCCTGCAAGTCACCCAGATCCTAAATGACCCTTGTGATCTCTGCGGGGTGTCCTTCACGAGGATGGGCAGGGACCAAGGACGCTCTGTCTGAACAAACCCTCCTTRGGCAGAGACGGGCGGGTACTGGGGACCCCAGATAGGCCCCTCCTGATGGGGTCTCTGAGCCCCTGCATCAGCCACCAGGTGAGGGTCGTGAGATGGCCGGGTCCCTGCCATTGCTGCAGGGGGGACCGGGAGGGCCTGAGCAGCGGCCAGGGAGGCGCCAGGTGATGGGTCGGGCTTTCACATTCCCGGGTGGACTGGTCCCTGTGCCGTTCTGCCCTGCGAGGGCCAGAGCGGCCTCTGCAGCAGGTCCACTCCCCCTGCGCCCACCGAGGCCCTGCCACCCCAACACGCCCCTCCAGGGGTCCTGTGGGAGGCAGTGGTGGCTCCAACCTGCCCCCTCTAGACACAGCGGGGCCCAGGTGACTGCCCAATGGGGCTCTGGRGTCACTGTCCCCCTAGGAGCAGGTGTCCCTGCTGGAGATGACAAGTGGAGACATGCATGGCCATCCCTGAAGAGGGTCACCCCCCTGGGGCCCATGTGCCCCCACGTGCCATGCAGGCCTGAGCACAGCCTGGCCCCCACTGGGATGCCAGCCGTGGTGCCCAGTGACCGGAGGTCTGGCTGGCTCTCCTCCCAAAGCTGGACACTGTTTTGAAGGGGTGTGTCCCCAGGGGGTCCTCTCCACTGGCACCAGTGAGCTGGGCAGGGACAGCCAGTCCCCCCTCCACCTGGCCCCGGCCCTGGGCTCCGCCAGGAGGGAGCAGCTGTGGGGGCTCCCAGTGCCAGGTCTGGGTTGCCACCTTCTTGCTGGACGCCCAGTCTCGGGCCGTCCCTCCTAGTGGCTGGAGACAGGTGTGAAGGCCACTGCTGAGGGATGTTGTGCCTCGCAAGGGCCCCCACCTGGGCCGAGGGAGGGGGATCCTGCTTCCAGGTGAGGACGGGGTGGCCTCAGGACCCGCAAAGACAGTGGCCTTTGCCCTCTCAGCCACGGGTCTCCTCCGCAGGCCGCCGGGCTGAGACGGAGTGTGGGCTCTGGGCAGCTGGGCCGGTCCCTGGCGTGGCAGACGGGCCGGCACGCGGGCCGCAGAGCAGCGGTGGATCTCTTCCTGTTTGTTTCTTTTTTTTTTCTCTAAAAAAGCACGCAGGTGCTTCCGTCCTGTGCGGAGTGAGGACCAAAATAAATACACGGTGACGCTCTGGGGGTCGTCGTCCTGTGGGTGCAGCTGGTCACCAGGCGCCACGCCCCAGGTCGCCAGGTGGCCCAGAGCTGTCGGGGTGGGGAGGGGCTCGGCCATCAGTGTCCCCGGAGGACGAAGGAGGATGAGGTTGGGCCAGGTCTCCGGGCTCCAGGCCTCGGGGGGTAGGTGACGCCTCTGAGCAGCACGCGGCGTGGGCGCTCTGGGCGCTCGGCTCCAGGTTGGGGGCTGCATAGAGATTACTGCAAGAGCGGGGGCGGGTGAGGGGTGCTGCAGCCACCCACCCGTGCCACCCACGGGCCCCTGTGTGGGCCCTACCCCACCTGACCACGCCTGGCCCCAGGGCTGCCAGGCCGGGTACTGCACCCTCCCGCCCGCCTGCTTCCCCAGCTGACCTCTCGGCCGCCTGGGCTCGGCCTGGGCCGGCGGCCACCGGCCACTTACTGTGTTGTTGCCGCTGCCGCCGCCGCCGCCGCCATCGGGGGCGGGCTGGGCCTGCGCGCTATAGTGAAGCGGGGAGTACACCCAGCTCCTCTCGTCGGTGGGCTGCGGGTGGCGGGTGCGCGTGCGGGGGCACAGGAGGGCAGGGTGAGGAGGGCGAGGCAGGCAGGAGAGGAAGAAAGACAGAGAGAATAAAAGAGGCAGTGCCCGGGCAGGTGCGGGGCGCCAGGCCCGATGCCCTCTCCACTGCGCTCTGCCCCACCCGCGGCCCTGGGCTAGAGCGGCTGACGGGAGACAGCAGGAAGCGGTGAGCTCAGCTGAGGTGGCAGAGACAGCAGGGGACAGGGACAGCAGGGGGCGCCGTGTGCAGCCTGGCCTCTGTCTTAGCAGGGGCTCCTCTCAGCCTCCCCCACCTGCCACAGGCACCAGGGTCCCGGGGACCCTCACGGAAGGTCCTGGGTGCTCTGGGTGCCCACCTGTTTCTGGACCATGCAGAGGACGGTCAGCACCTGAACATGGGTGGCACCACGAGCTCAGGCTGCCCCAGGCACAGGACTTTCCTGGGGGCACAAGGATGCCCTTCGGGGGCATGGGGCCCAGTGAGCTAGGCCCAGGGCTGGGCCAGGCAGAGCTGCACTCTGGCCTCTGCTGGGCCACCTGAGCCTGGCTGTGTCGGGGAAGGGTCTGGATCAAGAGAAGGGTCTGGAGGAGGGAGGGTGGTCTGGAGGAGGGAGGGTGCCCACCCCTGTCCCTCCAGGGTCGGCTCTGGCTCCAGAGGCCTGGCTCCAATGTTCTCGGGCCTTCTCATTCCCTGCCCCCCCCCAGGGCCTCCCTCGCCACTGGACTTCCAGGACCCTCTGGGCGGCTCCCAGGCCCGAACACCTGCCTACCTGGCCGTGCTCTCTGGCAGTCCCCCGGCTGACCCCTAAGCTCCCAGCCACAGCCCACACGCTGCCCCAGGCCCATCACTGCCGGGACCTGCCCACCCTCTTGTCCAGGGCCTGCTGCTTCCTTGTCTGTGAACGGCAAGGGCCGGCGCCAGCATGTGGCCCAGTGCGCTGGCTGACCTGGCCTGGCCTGCTCTGGCTCTGCCCCAGGCTCCTGTACCCGCCACCTGGCCCTGTGAGGCCCCCTCCACCCAGAAGGCCCCTCCGCCCACTCAGCTACGACTCCTGCCCGATCCCCTGGCCATGTGAACTGCCCCGGCTGCTGGGCACTGTGGGCGGGGACCCCTGCTCTGTGGCCTGGCCCAGTAGGGGCCTCCAGGCTCCACGGAGTTGCAAAGGCCCCGACTTCTGGAGCCGCCTCCAGCCCTGGGAACCAGCTCAGGCCCCCACAGCTGTCACAGGTACTGGGCTGGTGACAGAGCCGCCAGCTCCACCAGCACCGGCTGGGGTCCAGCAGCGGGGATGGGAGGAGGGTCTCCACCTAAGGCCCAGAAGGGCCAACCCCGGGAGGGAGGCTGGCAGCAGCCCCAAGCCCTGCAGGCCACGCTGCTCCTGGGAGGGGTCCCTGGCAGCAGACACTCTGTGGCCACATTAGAAAGGCAGTGCAGCCAGCTGCCCCTTCTGCAGAAGCAGGATAGAGGGGCCCTGCAGCTGCCAGCTGGCCAAGTGGCCAGGACCCCGGGTGACCGTCCTTCCGGCTCCTCCAGCTCTGGGTGCCCCCCACGCCTAGCTGCCGCCTGTTGCTCCCACCATGTCCCCTGCCAGCCCCTTCCTCTCCCACCTCTCCAAACCCGGGGCCCTGAGGCCCTCGTGGCTGCTGGTGCATCCAGCTCCCAGCCCAAGCCTCGGGCGGCAGCCGACTCAGGTGTGGCGTCCCTGCTCACCACTGCGGGCTCAGCTGGACACCAGGACTGCCGGGCAGAGGACGTGCCCAGCGCACAGCCACACCCAGGGGGTTTGCTGACAGGGACAGGGCTGGGCAGCCCTGAGGGGMTCCAGCTGCAGAATGAGCTCCCGGGTCTACGCCTGGGCTGGCCGAGCAAGTGCTGTGCAGCTCAGAGTGGGCGACTCGGCCTCTGGGGACAGTGACACCATGGCTACATAACATCTGTGTGGCCTCCCAGACGCAGGGGGCGAGTGCCTAGTGACCAGTGAGCACTGCGTCTAGGACCTGAGCCTTGGGCTGTGGCGGGCCCTCTGGGGAGCTGGCCTCTGCCCCTGTGAGACGTACACTTCAACGGGCTGCAGTTAGGGGCTAGTGCTGCAGCTGCCCTGCTGGCCCCAACTGCCCTCACGGGCGAGGCTGGGTGGTGACAAGAGGCCACCTACCACATGACAAGAGGGCTGGGGGGGGGCAAGGCAGGCTGGAGTTGGAGTGGACCCCCCCCGTGGCCCACAGGACAGACCCGCAGACAGGCACTCTCTTCAGTGCCCCCTTGATCTGGGACTAGGTGACATTCCCACGACCCACACCCAGCAGGGCGCCCTGGGGGCAAGCCTGGCTGCCGCCACCTCCTGCCCTTTTCCTAAGTCCTCCGAGGAGTTTCTGTCGGGGACCTGCAGCTCCCTGCTGCCCCAAAGTGGGCGAGGCCCCTCTCCCCAGGGGCCAGCTGCGGTCACTTACAGTCCCCGAGGGGCTCGGCATCACGGCCCGCAGTCGGCGATGGCGGGGAGAGTAAATCCAGTACCTCCCATCGGTGAACTGCTCGGGCCATGGGCCAGAGGGAGGAGGAAGAGAGGAGAGGGTGAGGCGGGGAGTCCTGGAGCCAGGCGGGCGGAGGGCGGGCAAGCCAGCGGCCAAGCGGGAGTGGGCATGCAGGGGCCTGCACTGCTCTGCGGCCCACCCAGCGTGGAGACAGTCCTCCGGCAGGACACCACCCCACGGGCCCCACGCAGACCAGGACACACACCAGCCCGGGTGTGGGGCGATGGCGCAGGCGGGGGACGGCCCAGGCCCACTCCATCCTTCTCCAGGGCCAGAGGGGAGTCCTGGGCCCCGGCAGGCCCGGCTCAGAGACAAGGAGGCATGTTAGTGAGGAAGCAGTGCTGGCCTGGCCAGCTCCTGGGTGACCGGCCCCCAGAGAATGACGTCCCTGGCCTCTCCTGTTGCAGTTGAGACTGTCGGACCCTGAGTGGGGTGGAGAACCCAGGACTGCCTGGGGGCCAGCAGCCTGGACTGCAGCCCCACTACTAGGTCCACCTGTGGGGTGGGGGCAGCGCCTGGCTGGGGGAGGGCAGGACAGAGCCGGCCTCGCCCAGGTACCACGGTCCCTGGCCCCGCGGGCAGCACGAGGCCCTCCTGCTTTCCAGGAGGACAGAGCGCACCTGGCCTAGCCCCGACCCAGGGGGACAAGCCTCGGGGCCCGTCCCAGCAGTCCAGACGGAGGGCCTCGCCCGGCCTAGGTCTCAGTGTGGGCCCAGCAAGGCCGAGAGTCAAAGGGTGCCAGAGACTGTGGCACAATGAGGTGGTGGTGACGAGGCTGGGAGGGGACCTGGGGTCACCCAGAGCCTGGAGCCCAGCCTGGGGCCTGGGGCAGGGCTGCGGCCCTGGAGGGGAGAGCTGGGAGRTAGGTGGGCGTGACCGAGCAGCCTGTGGCCAGGACGGCGCCTGTGTGCGTGAGTGCACCAAGTGTGCCGGTGACGAGAGTGCACAGGGCAGCATGCACACGTCTGAGGTGAGAACGCGTGTGCACACGCGGGGCAGCGTGTGGTGACGGACACCTCAGGGGTTGGAACTGGCCTCCACGGGGCCCACGGCCTGGGCACTTACGAAGTAGATGTCCGCCGCAGGCGTGTCCTCCTCGTCCGAGGCCTGGCTGGCGGGCTCCGAGGCCTGGCTGGCCGTCTCCACCTCCACGGTGGTGGCAGATGCACCGGCCAAGGAGGCCTCCACCCTGGGACGTGGGCAGAGGCAAGGTCCTGGGCCGTTCTGGGCAGCACCAGCCTCCGGCCCTCACCCAGGTCCTCCCCGCCTCTCCCGTCTCAGGGCGTCGACGGCTGCGCGTCCCTGCGAGGGAGCAGGGTCCCTGAGGCTGACACTGCCAGCACGCCCCCCTCCTGCGGGCAGACAGGACGCCTGTGGTGCTGCTGCTGAGCCAGTGACCTGCTGGCCACTCTGGGAGGTCACATGCCCTCTCTGAGCAGTGTCTCCCCCGCGGGGCGGGGACTGCTGTGTCCTCTTCATGGAGCTCGTGTGCTCCATGCCAGGCCCAGTGCAAAGCCTCCCAAGGTCATGCCCACTGAGGCTCCGGGCCTGGTGCCTCCTTTCCAGCTGTGAGTGACGTGCTAACACTGTCCTGGGTGTGTGCTGAGGCGGTCCCTACACCCGCATGGGAGTGGCCGAGACTTGGTGTGAACACACTCAGGAGCAGGGACGCAGCCTGGCAGCCTGCGCTGCTGGGCCTCCGAGCAGAGCCAGGAAGGTGCGGACAGCGCAGGGGCCGCTCTGCGGGCCCCAGCACTCAAGCCGGGATAGGAAGAAGCCCGCGCAGCCACCCAGCAAGGCCCCATCTTAAGACAGAAGGGCAGGGCGGGCCGCTGGGGCAGCTCGGTCCACAGGGGGCGCGCTGGGGCAGCTCCGTCCCAGCCCTGCCCAGAGCAACAAAAACCACAACCCTCACAGAGTCAGAAACAAATACGAAAAACAGGGAAACAGATATCTTCATATCCTCGGACATTCAGAGACTCATCCAGGGCCCCCTGGGCGCTGTGGACATGGGGGCCAGATGCTGAGCCAGGACTCCCCGGTCAGGATACCACACATGCCCGGGACGTGGCCCAGGGTCCCCTAGGGGTATAGTCAGGCGACTCAGTGTCTCAGATCAAAGAAGTTAAAATAAAGGCACTATCCGTGGCCACCCCTGGGCACTGCCGCTCTTCCTCCCCCACGGCTGCACTCACCCCGCGTCCTCCTCCTTGGGGACGGCCATCTCCACGCCGCACGCAGGCTCCACCTGCACCGTGATCTGCTGCAGGTCCTCCTCCACGTGCGGCTCCTGCTGGGGCCTGTGGGCAGTGGGGAGCTGAGGCCGACCCCCTTCCCACGGCAGAAGCCACCACGTCCTTCCAGGCCAGGGCCCAGCTGCCATCCCGTGAGGAGTCCCAGCCTGAGGCTGTTTCCTGAGCGTGCACAACCTCTCTGTGCCCCAATACCAGAGAGGGCAAAGGTCGCTGGCATCGGAGTGGGTAGCTGGGGCCCAAGGGGATGGGGCTGGGGGCTCACCGGCCATCCTGTCCAGAGGACTGCGTGCGCCGCCTGCAGAGAGACCGCAGCAGGTGAGGGGGCCTTCAGAGCCCAGGACGGGGACAGGACGGCCCGCCCCTGCACCCTGGCCCCGCCCATCTGCAGGGAGCCCCGCCCCCACGACGGGATGCCCCGCCCACCTGTACCGAGGCTGCTCCGAGGACTCTGAGGGGGACCGCTCAGGGATGGAGAGGGAGGTGGATGACAGGGTCGTGGCGATGGAGGCTGTGGTGGCCTCCTCAAAAGAGGGTGGCGTGCAGGGCAGGAGGTCAGGCCGACCTGTGGGAAGAGGCGGCGGGCACCTCCAGGAGCTGCTGCCCCACCCTCGTGGCCAGCGGGCCGCACCTCCTGCTTGGGCACACCGCAGCGCGTCGGCKCGTCCCCACCTCCCACCTCCGTCTCCTGACCTGGCCTCTGGCGGGAACATGGTGGAAGAGCCCCTGCAGCTTGCAAGCCCAAGGCCCAGTGGTGCCACGGCCCTCCCCCCCACACCGGCCTGGTCCTGCCTGGGGCTCTGTGCCCTGCCCCATGGAGAGCTTCCTCTGGTGACAGGCACGCGTGTCTGCCATGCTCTGCTCTCCTTGCAGCTCTCGCCCCAGGCCCAGCCCCGACGTCTGCCCTCCGTGGACCCCAGGGTTGGGAGACGGAACCGAGCCCTGCCCCAGCCGGGCAGTCACCTTCGTCCTCCAGCGTGGGGTAGCTGCGGGCGCCCCGCAGGTCATACTGCCCGTCCTCCCGCTCACTGGGGATCTGGCTGGCGGAGAAGGCGGCACTGGGCCCCAGGGGCTTCACGGCCAGCAAGGCCCCTCGGCCCTTCTTGGAAGGTGAGGACTTGAGAGCTGGGAGGGAGGGAGAGAGGGAGGACACCTGTGCCGGGAGCCGCTGCCCACGGCACGACAGGGTCCACTCCTCGGCACCAGCTGCCCCAGGATCCCTGCCTGGCCTCCAGTGTGACCTGCCCGTCCCTCCAGGCCAGGGACGCTCCTCCACAGGAGGTGCCAGGGAGGCTGGGTACCTCCTGCTGACCCCACTCTGCTTCTCTCAGACTCCTGGGGACCCAGCACCAGGACTGACCCCTGGGGTGGGGGCCAGAAAGAGCAGAGCAGGTGCTGCAGTCAGCTGAGTGACAGCAGGGCTCTACCCAGCCCCCACTGTCCGGCCGGGACCTTGGGGAGCACTTCACTCCGCCCCCCGCCCAGCCCAATGCGCCGACGCGTGCAACACAGTGAACAGGGACTTAGCTCCTGGGCTTTGTGGTCACTGCCCCCTTCCCAGCCCCTGTCCTCAGAGTCCCTCCCCCAGGGGTGCAGGCAGCTCACAGGAGTTCTTCCGAAAGACGGTGTTGCTCATGAACTTGAAGAAGCGCTCTGCGTAGAAGCTGGGGCGGTGGACGGACACCGTGTCCTGGGAGGGAAGCGCACCCCGGGGTCAGGTTTCCCGACACTGAGGACGCGCTCCCAGGGACAGGTGCCATGTTGGGGCAAGGGGCACTCTCCTGAAAAAGTGCCACGGCTTCTGAGAGGGGATCCCAGGAACAGGGAGCAGCAGCTCCCACGGGAAACGGTGGCAGAGAAGCGGGTCTCCCGCTGCAGACAGAGCTGCACCGAGCCTTCCCACGCGGGTGAGGCASCACCCAGAGACCTGGGGGACCCGGAAACGGGGGCGGAGCCTGGCCCACGCCTGCTTGGCAAATACCACCCCACGCACAGGTGTCTCTGGCTGTTTTTGTGCCCGGTCGCAGAGTGGTGCAGCTGTGGACCAGCTGTGGTCCTCGGTACTGGGCAGACCACAGGGCCATGGCCACAGCACACAGTAGGTTTACACCAGGCAGGGAGCCTGGCACACAGTTGGTCCCCAGCACCATTCTCAAACTTGGCAGGGCACCAGACAGTCTTGGGTGGGGAGGAGCCATCCTGCAGCCAGAGGGTGAGAAGCAGTGTCCCCACCCCCACCCACTCTGGGCCAGCAGCTTCCCAGCCACAAATGTCCCCATGGCTGTGATGTGACGTGGCCCACAGCCTCCTCGGCTGAGGTGTGGCATGGGATCACGTCCCGGCCCTGGGCACGAGCCAGTGCTGTGAAGCCCCCTGGCCCTGCCCAGCCCGGGTGCCCTTCCTCTGGCTGCAGTGAGGATGTGTCCCACCTGGGCCTGGGAACAAAGGACAGTGCCAGGGGTGTGGAGCAGCAGCAGAGGGAAGACCTGGCTGGCCGAGCAGGACCAGGCGGCTCGACCCATCACGGGCAGGCGACCCGGCCGGCGAGGCTCACGACACCCACAGCCCTGCTGCTGTGCCACTCCCTGCCACCCTGACCTGCTTGGTGTGTGTTCTGGAAATTTCTGCTTCTGGATGCTTCCAGCGTTCCTCTGGGCATTCAACTGGGCAGACTGCCTACGCTGGTCAGAGCTGCCTGAGTGGGGGCTGCAGGAGTCCACCACCCACGAGACCGCAGTGCGTCTCAGTCCTCAGAGGACACGGGAGCGGCCGCTTGCGGGGCAGACGGGGTCTCAGGCCCCGCGCACTTGGCCCTGGTACATTTCACGTGGCAACCCGACCCGTGCACACGGGAAGACGCGTGTGGGAYGGCGGGAGTCAGAGCGGAGCCCTGCTGCCCTCGGCCCCCAGAGCAGGACTCCGCACGCCGGACAGGCCGGACACTGACTGATGGATCAGCTGTCCCGAGGACCCCTTCCTGCTCAGTGTGGGCCCGCGGTCCCCTCCCCGGGTGGCTGCCTGTGCTTCTCCTGACCTAGGCCTAGGGGACGGTCAGGGCTTTCGTGTGCTGATGGGCAAAAAGCAGCAGCAAGCCACGCACCCCGTCGTGGACCAGGGCCTTCCAGGTGTGCTCCAGCTTCTTGATGAACCTGCAGGAGAGGGACGGGCAGGTCAGCGCCCAGGAGGGCCCCCAGCCTCCCCCAGGGCCCCCCAGGCTCTCCCTCCCAGGGCTCCGGAGGCGGGTGGCCGGGCACCTGTAGGACTGCAGGATGTCGATGATGCCCACGTGCAGCAGCAGCCGCTCCCCTCGGCCATTCACGGCAGGGATGCCGCCCATCCTGGGGGGGGGCGCACAGTCAATGGCAGGGTTGGGCCTTCGGCTCCCACATGGCAGCTGGGGTGGGGTCCAGCATCGGGCACCCATCCCGCAGCGACTGGGTGGCCCCCAGGGTCCTGCTCCAACTCCACACTGGGGGTGGGGTGCTGCCCGGATCCCGGGCTCGAGGCGCAGGCTGGGCACAGGCACATGCACCCCACACTCTGCGGCCGCGTTAGTCACACGCTCGGCCACACCCGCGCCCTGCGGGGTGCAGTTAGTGAGGTCACACGGGCGAGCTGCCCCAAAGCCGCCACTGCTCCAGGCCCCAGGCAGCCCGAGGGCCGTCACGCAGGCCACCCCAGGCAGGCTCAGCTCACCTGCTCCCTGCCGGCCCMGCAGACCCTAAAACGCCAAGACACGGGCTCAGGGCGCAGCTGTGCCGGGCTGTGCACCTGCAGCCGCCCAGGTGGCCCCWGACTGCCGCTCAGTGTCCCACCACGGCGGTGGCCTAGGGCCTGTGCCCGCCCCAGGGCATCGTGCCTGGTCGCATCTTGGCCCTGGCCCCAGCCAGCTGCCTCCACCCGTCACCTGGAGTGCCCCTGTCACTGAGTTCCAGGGCCCAGAACCCTGGCAGGTCACCTCCCTAATGCCCCAGAGGTGGGCACCACATCCCATGTCACCGGCAAGGTGTCTCTGGATGCTCTGTCCACACACCGTCACCACCCTCCCGGGGACACCAGTGCAGACGAGGACCAGATGGAGGGAACAGCGCTGGCCTGCACCCCACCTACGTGTCATCCATCTCGATGGCCTCGCCGCGGGCAGCCCCACCCTGGATGGACTCCATGGCCGTGGAGTACAGCGCCTTCTGGCCCACGGGCCGCTTCTCGTCCGCGCTGCCCTGRGCGCCCTCGGCCTGCCGCTCCCGCTCCTGCTGGTCGATGTTGTGCACGCCGAGCAGCAGGCTGTAGTCCATGATCTTGAAGCTCTCCAGCACCTGGCAGGGACAGGGCGCTGGACCGGCCGAACGCAGGCCCAGCAGGGACCCCAGCCGCCCAAGGCCTGTCGTCCCCCCAGGGACAAGGGGTCCGCCCAGGCTCGGGCAACAGTCCTGTGCCCAGGTGAGGGCGAGCTCCCTCTGGAGTGGGGAGCCGGGCCAGGGACGCTCAGGACGTGGGGACAGTGGGGAGCCGGGCCAGGGACGCTCAGGACGTGGGGACAGTGGGGAGCCGGGCCAGGGACAAGAGGACGTGGGGACGGCGGGGAGCTGCCAGGCTCTGGAGGGTCTGGCTGCATTCTGGGAGAGGTCTGGGAGCCGGGTGCGGTCAGTCAGGCTGGGACCACAACCCAGGCCCACTCCCGAAGGCCGGGGCCTCCGCTCCTCGGCTCTGAGGCGGCGGCGGCCTGGGGTGCCGGGGTGCCTGGCCAAGGCCACAGGACACAGCGGGAGCCACGTCCGGCTCCTTCCACTGACAGCCTGTGCAGGCTCCGTAGGGTGCGGGCTGGCCACCTGGACACTGCAGCCCGCCGCGGTGCATGGAGCACGCTCCCACCTGAGGGGCAGGGGAGCAGAGGGCTCCTGGCGGGGCAGCCTGGGCTTGTGGCAGGGCACCCTGAGGCGGGGCCCGGGACTCTGCGGGGATGGGCTGGCGGTGGACGGGGCGGCCTCACCAAGCAGTCCCGCTGCAGCGTCTTGACCAGGGCGCTGAAGGTGTCGGTGTCCAGCAGCAGCCCCTCGGGCATGTCCTGCATGAAGTCCAGGTCCTTGTAGGTGGGCGCACTCTTCTCCTTCTCCTTCCTGCTGGCCCGCCGCTTGTACGTGGAGCCCTTGAGGTCGAACTTGAGGTGCATCTTGACCACGCGCGGCAGCACGTTGTTCATGACCACCACGCGGATGTTCTTGCCCCCCGACTGCACGCAGTACAGCCCGTAGAACTTGGGCAGCAGCGTCCGCGGGTTCTGGTTCAGGTTCTGCCAGACGAGGGTGGTGGCGGGCATCAGCGGAGCCTCTGAACCCCTGCCTCCTGTGGCCCCCGGTCCCAGGAGAGGGCCCTCATGAAGCCCCTGCCGGCCCCTGCCTGCCCTGGCCGGGCCCCGGGCCTGTCCCTCCAGGCCTGGCTCTCGAGGCAAAAACCAACTGGCCCTTCACAGTCCGAGGTGGGGACCCCGCCGAGGAGAGCCCAGCGCTCCCCTGAGCGTGCCAGCAGAGGAGGACCCAGCGGGGCACCGAGCACAGGCTGGACCGAGCGGCCGGGGCGGTCCCCGTGCCCGGCACTGGGCTCCGCCGGGGAGGGGACGTCCACCCTGCCTCCGCATCCGGGGCCGTGGCCCCATCCTGCCCTCTCCCACCCGGGGGCCAAGCCCTTTCTGTGTGAGTCATGAGGGGCCGAGAGGCAGAGGGAGCCCACCCCACACCCACCCAAGCAGCTGTTCCTTGGTGAGGCACCGGCTGGAGGCTGTCCCCTCCCCCTGCCTGAGTCACCATCGCTGGGCCCTGGGGGCAGCCCAGAGACACTGTTGCTCAGGGACAGGATTTCTGGGACCCAGGACTCCTGGGGGCTGGGGGCAAGTGGCAGCGAGTGTCCTCCCTTCCCTGCCAGCGGACAGCAGCYGGGCCTGCCGCTACAGGTGAAGGGCCTCAGGGGCGGGGCGGGGCGGGGTGGGGCAGGGGCTGCGAGGCCGCGCACCATGTAGTAGCCGGGCAGCAGCTTCTGCAGGAACTCGGCCTCCTTGTGCATGACGGTCTTGATGATGAACTCGTCGTCACTGGTGACGTAGAACAGGGAGCCGCTGGCGCCCGGGTTGGACAGCTCAATGAGAGGCTCGTTGCACAGGGAGTACTGCAAGACAGGGACACGGCTGGCCTCCTCCGGCAGAGGGAGGCGCCCAGAGAGGGCGGCAGGGGACGGAGGGCGCACAGCCCTGCCAGGCACAGGCCGAGACCTGTTCCCAGGCTTGCTGCAGCTGACCGTGCGTCAGCTCTGCCCGAGGGGCTGGGGCCCACGTGGGGACGGCAGCCGGGCCACGAGACCAGGGTCCACAATGTCTGTCCGCTGGCAGACGGTCCCGCGTGGTGAGCTCGGGTGTCCTTCCTGGCAGGCTCTAGCTGGACGGCCAGGCCCACCCGCGGCTGGCCAGGCTCTGGGCGGCTCCACTCACCAAGTAGTCGTCGGGCCGGATCCCAAAGAGCTCCCGGAAGTAGCGGAAGGCCACGGGCGCGTAGGTCTTGAACCGGAAGTCCTGGAAGTGGTGGGCGGGGGTGAGGTTGCTGCCTTCACTGTAGAGAGGGACGCAGGGGACTGTGAGGGCCGGTGGCTTTCGGGGCGCCTTTCCCCACATGTCCGAACACCCAATCCTGCCAGTGCCACAGGGCTCCTGCTGGGACAGAGACGCTGTGGCCAGTCTCAGGCTGCCCCCTCCTCAGTAGCCATGGAGCCCACCACGCTCCTGAGCATGTGGCTGCCAGGATGGGTAAGGCCACACACACCCCCCCCCCTTGCAGCTGGGCATGGCCATGTGACTTCTTGGCCAGTAAGACAGGAGGGGAGCAGAGAAGGATGTGTGCTATTTACTGATGGGCCCTTTTCCTCTTGTCCCTCCTGCTGCTGGAATGCAGACATGATGGCAGGAGCTTGGGCAGCCACCAAGAAATTGCTGTTTACAGAAACTACACGTGGAGGATGGCAGGGCACAGCGACTAGAAGAGCCCATGGCCTCCAACGCCCTGGAACCTCCTGACCAGCCCCAGGGATGGCCTACAGGCACCTTTAGGTGGAAGAGAAACAGGCTTCCACCTTTCCTTTTTTATGGTGCTGGGGCTGGACCCAGGGCCTGGCGCATGCCAGGCAAGGCTCTGCTGGGCCGCCCGAGCACCACCATCCTAGCTTAAAAAGCCACCGCGCCAGGCCCGGGGTCCAGCAGCAGCCGCGTCCTGGCTACGGGAGGGCCGCGAGATGCCAGGAGAGCCCGGCCCCGGGCCGCCCACCTGGGGAAGAAGATGCTCTCCACCACGTAGAAGTCCTGCATGAGCACATCCCGCTCGGGCTTGGAGCTCAGGTTGCCCACGGTGTAGCCGATGCCCAGCTGGATGGCCCCCTTCAGGGTGGACGAGGTGGTCTGCGGGGACACAGTGCCATCGAGACTCTGCCGCCTGCTGGGGTCCAGGGAGCCCGACGCCAGCCAGGCCGTCCCGGCTACGCGGGCTCCCTCCACAGCCACGGGTTAGTGCCGGATGGAGCCCAGGCCCCCACAGAGCCAGGCAGGCGCCGGCCACTGCCCCCCAGAGCCACCCCAGCCCGCCTGCCCTCGCRCTCTCCTGTCTTGCAGTGCTGGGCTGGACCCAGGGTCCACTGCTGAGCCAGGCACAGCCCTGTCCCGTTCTGAAGCAGGGTCTGGCTAAGTCACGGAGGCCGGGCTCCCGCCTGCCGGCTCCTCCGCGCTAGCTGCCCAGTCGCTGGGTCGACAGGCAGGGCCACTGCGCCCCACCAGGACTGCCTCGGGGCACGGCTTAGTGACGCCCGGCTGCGTGTGCTCTGTGGCTCTGACGGCAGGTGGGCAGTGCCGACTGTGGGCCTCCGGTTCCCGCCTGGGCTGCCCTGCGCCAGCCAAGGCCACACAGGGACCGGCACACGGCTCTTCGCTCTGTGTCCCCTGCAGTCCAAGCCCAGTCACCCCTAGTCCAGACCCACACGCCCGTCCCAGGCCTGCAGGTCACCTGACAGGACAGCACACACAGGGCCTCCCTCAGGCCCAGCCTTTGCCAGGGCCGCACCCTGGTACCACACCCACACCTGACCCCTGTGCCAGAGTGGACACAGATGGCCTGGGCACTGCATGTCCCCAGCCAGCCCACCACGAAGAGTAGGAACGAACCTTCTTGTAGGTGGTCTCTCCAGATGCATCTACGCCTCGATGACCCAGCTTCTTCCCGTGGCCAGGGCCGGGCTGTCCTGTCATTGACGGGGCCTGGGGACAACGGAACAGGAGTTGAGTGGCCGAGGTGGCCTGTGCTCTGCGAGCCCTGGCGAGGGGCCAGTTACTGTGCCTATAGGAGCCCGGGCCCAGGCCAGGTGGGGGCTGGGGACACGGTGGGCTCCAGGCAGAGCAGGAGGCCCGTCCAGGGGCCCACAGTGCCCAACTCTGGACATGCAAGTGCTCACACCAGCATTAGGACCCGTGGCCGCTGGAGGCAAGCTGGCAGGACRGGCAGCCCCAGGGACGGGGACGGGGAGGTCTTGGGCGGCACTGCCTGGCCCCTGGCGGCTCCAGGCCGGGAGCTCTGGCTTCAGGAGAGCCGCGTGTCCCGGGGCAGTGCCTCTGGAGCAGGCCCCTGCGTGGGGAGCAGGCCAGGCTGTCCCAGCAGGTGGGCACRAGGCACTGACCCCTCAGGACTCCCTGCTGTTCCGGGGAGCCTGCAGGGACACAGCCAGCGGAGAGGAGGGGCAGAGAACGGGTCATGGCCTCTCTGGCCATCACTGACCTTGAACCTGTGCCACTCAGGGAGCCCGTCCACCTCTACCCGGTCCTCGGGTGCCTGACCTCCACCCAGCCCTGCTCAGCCGGGTTCTCTCTGCTGGCCACCAGGGGGCGGCTCTCCAGGGCTGGACACCCGAGTCCCCAGGGTACTGTGCCCACAGCACGTCACTCTTCCAGATGGCCCTGATGGCCCTGGAGGTGCCCAGGGGCCACACCCAAAGTCGAACGTGTAGCAGGGGTCCCTGGCCAGGTGGAAGAGCTCCCCCTGCCCCGGGGGGTTGTTAGGGACCAAGGGCCRGAGAGCGGGGAGGCCCGGCTGGACACACGGTGGCCACGTGGGCTCTGCTGCCCAGATGTCAGGGCAGCTCCTTGGGCCTCCTGGGAAGTAGGCCTGGCTCCCACTGCTGCCCAGGACGCGGCTTCCCGACACTGACAGGGGGACCGATGGCTGAGATCCAGGACACCTGGGAAGCTCCAGGAGGGGACAGAGGGGTGGGCAGGTGGGGCAGGGAGCAAAGGGACAGACACTGGGGAGGACAACTCCCGCGGGCCTCCCCGGGGCTCATGGCAGCGCCCGGACCAAGCTGCAGCTCAGGGGGTGCAGGCCCGGCCTCGGCCGCCTGGCTCAGCCTGGCAGACCCTCCTGGCCACCTGCGGGGCGCGTCCCTGCTCGACGCTGCAGGGCAGACGCGGGCTCACTGCCCACAGCCCCGCCACGGCGCCCAGCCTGGACGGTGAGCCGCCCCAGGACCCCGGCCCCGCCCTGCCTCTTCACCCCGGGAGACTCACCTCGGACGAGCCCGACTTCTTCTGCGCCGAGCCTGAGGGGAGAAGAGCGCCATTCAGCCTGCAGATGCCCCGCCATTGTGCCACAGTCACCAGGAGCCACCCCTGGTCCCCAGTCATCCCACCCTGTCACCAGGACCTCTCCCTGGTCATGCCATCACCAAGAATTGCCCCCAAGCCACTCCACCGTCACCAGGAGCCCCGGCCAGGCTGACCCTTGCTGGGCTCCTGGACCCTAGAAGACCCACAGGGGCCACGTCAGGGAGACGCAAGCCGCTGGCCGCGTGGACTGGGGGCTGGGGTCCCAGCGCAGGTGAGAGGTGGCCCAGGCCGGGGACCGTCAGCCTCGGGCAGCATGGGGACCTGGCTGCACTGTTGTCACCGAGGCCGTGAGGGGCCGAGGCACACACCTGACCCACCACGGCAGAGACGCTGGGTCCCGGGGTCACAGGGAGATCAAGTGACAGAAGGGAGCTCAGCCCACAGCCAGGTCCCCAGGGCCAGGGCAGCAGTCGGGGAGCTGTGGCCAGTGGGAACTGGCCRGGCCCCTGGGCTGAGCACACACAGCCCCTGCGGGCAGAAGGGACCTCCATCCTGCCCTGCTCCCTGGCAGCCTCTGGCTGCGGAGGAGGCCACCCTGGCCGGTCTGTGCCCCAGGGCAGGGCACTCTGGGCAGGAGGGGGGTGCGGGAGTGCTACCAGGCAGTGTCCGCCAGGGCTCAGGGCGGAGGGGCTGCAGGACCAGAAGGTGGCGCCTTCACCCTGAGGCACCGGCTGGCCGCTGCGGGTGGAACCCAGGGCCCGATGCACAGGCCACGGACCACAGCCTGGCCTGGACTCCTCCCAGGACACTCGAGTGGACTTCCTAACTCTCCCTTCTGAGAAGAGGAGACTGATGGTCAAGGAGGCGAGAGGATCTGACCAGGGCCAAGTGCTGGTACAGGCCTCAAGTACACACGGCCCCTCCCCGAAGCCACCGGGGAGCAGGCACACTCTTCCCACTGGGCAAGGACCACCTGTGGGCAGGCGGGACCAGGGCACGAGGAGTGGGCTTCAGCCCCAGGCCCTCCCCACTTATCAAGGCCTGGTGGGCGGGCAGCGCGGAGAGCAGAGGAGGGGCCTGGGCCTGGGACGTGGGACTGACCTGCCCAGGGTCCTGAAGGAGGAGGGACACTGGGGACAGGTGGTCAGCGCTGCCCTGCTGGCCCTCTTGGGCTGGCCTGTCGCTGCAGAGCCTCCAACCCTGGCACACCTGTTTCCACACCCAGAGTGACCCTGGTCATGTGCGTCCTCAGCCGGTCAGTGCCCTGCCCTGGCTGGGCACACAAAGGCCCGCCATGCACCCTGCCCTGGCTGGGCACAGCCCCTATGTGTCAAAGGGGACCCGACAGGTCGGTGGGGACAGGGTCGGTGGGGGCACGGTTCTGTCCGGGTGGTGCCGGGGGCCAGGGCAGGCTCTGTGAGCCTCGACAGGGACCCTGACGCTGGCCTGGGGGTCCCGTGAGCATGGGCAGCTGGCAGGCCTGGCGGGGGCAGATCTGGCCTGGGGAAGGCAGCTGCCCGGCTCTGCGGGGCCCGGGCACACCAGGGCCCCGCGTCCTGTGCCCCAGGAACCCCCCGAAGGTGACCGTGCTGGGAATGGGGTCAGCAGCTAAGACCAGCCGGAAGAAGCTGTGCCGAGTGGCCCGTGACTGTCCCCAGAGAGAAGTGACAGACGCTGATGCTCATGGAGGACGACACAGGAAGGCGGAGGCAGGACAGGGACTCACGACCACCAAGGAACACACTCCATGCCACCGTCCGACGCCAGGAGGGACCTGGGCAGGTTCCCGCTCTGACCCCTGAGGGCCGGCCCTGCCCACAGCTCGGGGCTGGCCTTCCGGGAGTCCCGCTGTCCTGACGCCCGTCTGTGGTCATCTGCACGGCATCCCGGGCCCAGTCCTCCCTGGGCACCCACCAGGCGGTGCAGGTGGCGGTATTGGTGGGGCACGGCCCAGAGCCGGGTGGGGCCAGGAGGGGTTCACTGGAGCGTCAATGGCCGCAAGTGAGGGGCCGCCGGGCCACGCAGAGGTCCAGGCCGGGGGGAGGCCAGGGCTGGAGCTCGGCCCCACGTGGGCGTCCCTCTGAGGAAGCCACACAGCAGAYTGCCCTCCTGGCTGAGGGACATCCCTGGGAGGTGGCCGCCCCAAGCTGGTGCCGGCAGAAGGTGCTGTGGGGACAGGGTGCTCAGCGGGCAGCGCACCGCACCATTCCCCAGGGCCTTGGGCCCGGGAGGAAGGCAGAGGGCAGGACGCCGCGGGCGGTGGGGTGAGGGCCGCCAGGGCCTCTGGGCTCTGTACCGCCACCTCCCAACACAGAGGGGCCACAGCCCTGGGAGGAGACGCAGGGAGCCCGCACCCCACGCCTGGCAGAAGTGCCACTGCAGCACGGCCCGACAGCCCGAGGACAGCCCTGGCCGAGGGCCCAGGGTGCCGGGGACCAGGACGTCCAGGAAGGCCGCAGTGGGCAGGGCCGAGGGGCAGCGAAGGCTGGGGGGCCGCGGCGCAGCCTGGGGCACTGTCCTGCGGGGCTCCTCCCAGCCCCCCAGCTGTTTTTGAGGAGATCAAACTTTACAAAGAGTCGCAGAAGCTACAGGCGTTTGCGCCCACGTGAGGCTGGGCTATGGCGCCCCCCAGGACAGCCAGGCTGGGCTGAAGATTGGTCCCCTTCCTCCTGGGCTCCCCACCTGAGGGCCAGCGAGGACCCTGTGCCGCCCAGCCCTGCCCTGTCCACCGGCAGCACTGGCGCCAGGGCTGACCAGGCCTGCAGGGCACCGGCCAGCCACCCCACCTCCTGCCTGCTGGGCACGAGGCCCTCTGGCCTCAGTCTCTCCTGACCCTCCCAGGCACCTCTGCCTGGCCTTGGCCTCCGTCCTGCCATTCCCCTGTCCCATCCCACGGCCCCTTCCTGGTTCCCGGCTGGTCTGACCTGTGTGCGTTGACTGACTGATGGATGGACACACGTCGCCTCTTGGCACAGCAGGCCTCAGCTGGAACCTGAGGCTGAGAGCAGCTGGACGGGCCACGTCACGGCRCCCCAGGGAGGCCGGCCAGGTCGGCAGGGCCAGGGTGAGCTCGTCATCGGACCCAGGCCCCGGGGGGCAGAGGGGCCTTGAGGGCAGGAAGGAAGGGGAGGAGGGGGGCAGGGCACAGGACCCGCAGGGGGGCTCTGCCTATCGGCGTCAGGCCCGCCCGGGAGGCACAGAGCAGGGGACAGGAGGTGGCTCGGTCCGCATCCCCAAGACACCTGCTGGTCCCGGCCACAGCCACAGCTGTGGGGAGTCGGGACTGTACAGCCGGACAGGGGCAGGGAGACCAGCTCCATGAAAAGGGCGGCCAGCGAGGTGGGCAGGCGCAGCAGAAGGGGACGCCCACCCTGCCCTGGACAAGCTTGGCCAGCCACTCCAGCTCTGCCCATCTGCCTTCAGGGCCCTGGCCGCAGGCACCAAGCCGCAGCCCTGCTCGGCTCCCCCTGCTCAGCCCCACGGGCTCCTCCCGGGCCTCTGACGGCTGCACCCTCAGCTGCCCTCGGGGTTTGCTTCCCTGCTCAGACCTGGCTCACAAGTCATCCCAGAGAGGCCCCACGTCCCCACCTCCCCAACGGTCCCTCGTCCCCCTCCCTGCCGCCCGGCACTCGCCCGTGCAGAGGGCTGAGGCTGTCCGAGCGGCAGGAGCAGTCAGGACAGGTGGGGACAGGACCCACGGGTCAGGGAGCAGGTCACTTCCCCATGTGCGGGTGACGTGTCCTTTGACGAGAGCTGGGGAGGACAACAAGGGCTGCTGGCCACCCGACGGCCCCTGCTGCTGGCCTGTCCAGAGGGCTCTGTGGCCACGCGACCCGCTGTGACACGGGGAAGGGGCAGCGAGGATGGTGTGTGTCCTCAGGGCTCCCTGCGGGGCCACGTGGGCAGAGTGGGCAAAGCCGCACCAGAAGCCCGGCCACCCCTGGGGCACAGGACACGTGAGCGGAAGCCCCCTTGGAGTTGACGCTCTGCCCACCACGCCAGGCGAGACCCGCAGCAGAGCCACCCGCGGAGCCCACCGGACACCAGCACGCGAGCAGCAGTTGGCTGGGTCCCCAGGCCCAGGGCGGAGGCAGCAAGGGCACCTGGAGCAGCCGGACGGTCCTGCGCCCAGAGCTCCCAGAACAAGCCCTGGGCTCAGGGCGCGGCCACCCAGGGTCCGCAGGACAGGGYGGGCTGCCTCCAGGGTCAGCCGCAGGGGGGACCTTGTGAGAGCAGGCCACAGAGACTCCTCGGCCAGAACCCGCCCAGGACTGGAGGGTCCAGAGATGGGAGGGGACAGGCCACGAGGGGCAGGGGACTGCCTGTGGGGACAGACTTCCTCCTTTTGGGGTGATGGAATGTTCTGGAGCTAGAGATGGTGGCCGCCCGGCACTTGAGTGTGTGAGGAACCGAGCTCACACTTGGTGAAGACGACCCGTGTGGATCCCACCTCAGAAGACAAGTGCACCCCAGCTGCAAAGCACTGCCCGAGGCCAGGCGCCACAGACCTCCCCAACACGCTGCCAGGCCCTGGGCTCCCGTCTCCAGAGCGGGTGGAGGCAGACGCGGGGCTCCCGGCCTTGGTGAGGTACCTGGTCCCACAGACGGGTGCTTCGCCCACCCCCGTGGCAAGGGCCACCTGCACCTCAACCCCCCCATTGCCAACTGAGACCTTGTGAACGCTAAGAACCAACTGCCGAGGAAGAGGCAGAGGCCCACAGTGGCCCAGGAGCTGACGTGCCGGGACACACAGCTGTGGGTGGCTGGGCCAGGTCCTGCGCCCATGCAGGCCAGGCGAGCAGAGCTGCCCGCAGTGCGCCAGTGGCCCTGCCAGAGGCCTTGCTCTCCTAGTGCACCACCTGCAGCGTGTGGGGCCCCCTGGGCACCGCGGACACTGCCCAGCTCTCTCCAGGGTGGCGGGCAGGGGCCTTCCACCCACTCCAGGACAGGAGCTCCCGGTAGTGACGACCACACGTGGCCCAGTGTCCCTGGG